ATAGTATGAGTTTTGGGTTGTTTTGTCTGAAAACTGGACATAGAATTTGCTCTTGTCTGAAACTGGCGGGAGCTTTAGTGATGCCACAAGATCTTCTATGGAATGTTTTTATTTTAAGTTAAGCTGTAATAACATGTCCCAAAATCTCACATCAGGCCCAGAAAGTTGGTTTTTGCAGGATGAGTGTAGGAGGTTTTAATCTTTTTTCAAGCAGATTCTTTTTTTATTTATATATAAAGCAAAAATTTGTCCTTCGCCTGGCCGTTGTCATTGGTTAAATAAAAGGACACATGAACATGGAAAACCTGTTCGATAATAAGCATGTATGACTTTGATTGACACTGAGGGTCCATTTGACAGCTTTTAACCAATAAAAATTATACAACTTTGTACCACACCCCACCCAATTTTCTTGACCCATTAAAAGAGTGACTTTTTATGACTTGTTTATGGAAAGAACCGTTTCCTGTATCTTTCCTCAAGGAAATTGAATTTTCTGTATAACCTTAATAAATGGTGAATTGCTTTTATTTTCCAGGTGAGGAAACTGACTCCACCCACTTGACTTACCTTCTCACTGCCATAACCTCCCATCCAGAGGTGGAGAAAAGGTTTGCTTTCGTTCATCATTTTCTGTATCAAGCATTAAATACGTGAGGAGCCCAGTCACGGATACTTTTCATTTGAAATCCCTCTAAATCTTCCCTAGTGGCAAATATCCATGTTCCTTTTTGTTTTATTTTCACCTATTTAGTATTCTTTCACCTTAGAAACTTTCTGTTTGAGGTTTTCGTGAGGAGATTGTTATTCATTGCCAGAAAGTCACACGCGGCTACTCAAGAACTAAAACCAATCAAAAGTCAAAGCAACACGCGGACGGTGAAAAGCGCGGGAAAAGTTACGTCAGACAATTACCATTGGTCACTATGCGTACCATTGGCTTTGGTTTTTGCACTTGTGAATTTCTTCCCTGTGATTGGTTAATGAGCGCATTGTACGCAATCAGGAAACCAGTCGAAGAAAATTTTACGTAGAATTTAGCTTCTTTGTGGAACATTGGTTGGTTTTGCTAAATAAGTTCAAATAACAGAGAATTTGCGCAAACCACAAAGACAAACGATGGTAACATGAATGTGAATTAAAACTGATAGCCACTCGGAAATTCTGCGTTCAAAACTTGACTCGGTTGTTGACTGATTGACTTCTATTCTTTAGGATTGTGGCTGAAATTGACGAAGTTCTTGGCAGCAGGTGCGCAGTGAAATACGAAGACCTCGCTAAGCTTACATACCTTGAACAGGCAAGCAAGGAGGCTCTGCGCTTGCATCCACCACAGCCAGCGGTCACACGCATGGCAAATGAAAATATCACCCTGGGCGGCTACCACATTCCCGCCAAAACCAGCATCATGGTGAACGTGCACGTGCTACATCACCATATAAAGTACTGGGACGACCCAGAGAAGTTCGACCCAGATCGCTTTGCACCGTCCAATCATGAAGAGGTTGAGCACTACGCGTACATTCCATTCTCTCTCGGTCGTCATACTTGTATTGGGATGCACTTCGCTCAGATTCAGGCCAAAATGCTGCTGGCTCGACTGTTTCAGACCTTCAAACTGGAGCTACTTCCAGGTCAAGACCTGAAAGAAGTAGAGCACATGACACTGAGGCCGAAGAATGGGACGAGGTGTACACTAACGCTCAGATGAACAAGCGTTTATCTCATAACCGGTTATAACTGCATGTAAAAACTGGTCAAAACTATGCCTAATTGTTTTCAACAGCAACAACATCTTTTATGTAGTGGTTTTCAATTGAGTGTCCTAAAACCAAAACCAAAGTAATAACGCTGGCCAATCACTAAGGACACAGACTATCCAATGAACTAATCAAAACTCGAAGTAATTTTATGAAGCATAGCGCGGGAAAACGTGTACGGAACAATTTACGATTGGTTTTGGTTTTTCTTCTGATTGCATGAAAAAGTGGCGAGAGTTTTTTTTTAAGCGAATCGTGTAGATGATTACCTTTCGACACTCAAATGAAAACCGCTCTATACTTGATATGGGTGAAAGCAAAGACTTGCATGCCAAACTAATTACAAAACATGTAATTCGCGGCTTATCACGCTAACTAGTCAAAAGGACATTTTTCAGTTTTTAACAACGCAATATTACTCACAAGGCGAAATAATTTAATTGCTAATTTTGTTGAGGTTATTTAAAAATCCCACCTTAAAGAGGAAGGGGGAAAATGAAATTGTTTCTGGTACTTGTTGAAAGGAATCATATTGCAATTATTTACTTTATATTATATTACTATTATATTTAATACTAAGTCAAATTATCCTCGCATTTTGATTGGTTCTTACTTATGGTCAATCGGAGGACAGATGCATAGATGACGTCATTAACACCAATCTATCGCCTTGTGTGCCACTTTTTTTGCCGTTATCACATTTTGACGTCATCTGTGATCAATTACTGGACGTACGCACGGCAACATGGAGTCTATTTATTAAAGACACTTCAAATCGATGTGCAAGTGCGTCATATTGAGAATAACTTTTATTCTTAATTATTCTCGGATTCAGACCCACATTGTTGTTGACGTATTCCAGTATTTATCGAGCTATTTACTGCGTGGTGAAGCTAGAGAACATGAGCTACCATGTAAAACATGGATCAGTCCTGTTACAATGCCGAAGATGTCAGCTAAAGTTTACAATACTTCCGATTATTTGCTTTCAAAGGTTGTCAGAGGAGCTAACGTTAATATATCGATCTCCACTCAAGTAAAATGGGGTTCAAAAATGCCACACTTGCTTTGAAAGGCGCAAATAAGTTTGCAAAAAGGGCAACTGATCTTTATAAAGATTTTGAATCAATAAAAGTGACTCATTCTGCAATCTTTTTCTTAACCCATAATTAATAAGCAAGGCCAGCTAGGACTTGAGAGAAACTTGTAGGACTTGGTGGAAATAACAAATTGTTTTATAAAAATTACGCGCCCTCTCATCGGTCGATAGGTGTTTTTTAGATGAGACTACGTAAACACGGTTGTGACGTTTTAGATTCGTGCGTATTCTTGATAAATATTTTATAAAAGCAATAGGGTACTTTTTCCGCGTTTACACAGCCTCATCTAAACACTTAGGGGATTGGTAAAATTCTCGAAAGTTATGCAAACCCTCGGCTGCGTCTCGAGTTTGCATGTATGACACATAACTGACTCGAATTTACCATTTTTTATCAGGTGTATTTCACACCTGATTCAGGAAGGCCGTCGTTATTCCACAAGAAGCCCAAGCTCGCAAATTAGTGACCCCGCTGTACATACATTACACAACAGTCAAAATATAAGGATTTGTATGGAAAAGCGGTTATATTCCTAAGCCTAAAAAATACGAAGGACTATGAATAGAGATTTACCAACCTTGCTTCACTTGAGTTGTTCCTTAGGCCCAGTTCATACGTCGCATTTCTGCCGTGTCGAATTCAATTCAATTAAGTGCGGCAGTAACGCGACTGTGGATTCATACGTCGCACTTGTGTCGCACTTAAGGTGGCCGAACACAGTTTCGCGCGCGCTTTTGCTGATGCAATTCAGCGCGCGCA